TTTTTTTTCCTGAGACAGGGTTTTTCTGTGTAGCCCTGGCCATCCTGGAACTCACTCTGTAGACCAGGCTGGCCTCAAACTCAGAGATCCACCTGCCTCTGCCTCTGGAGGGTTGGAACTAAAGGCTTGTGCCACCGCCACTCAGTCTTAAAATGTTTTTTAAGAAGAGTTTGTTATTTTCCATTTTACGTGTCTGTATATGTTCCTGCGTGGCACTATGGGCAACCATGTATGCAGGTGCTCAAGGAGACCAGAAGAGGACATCGATTCCCCTGGCAGGGATTGTGAGCTGCCTGCTGTGGGTACTGGGAACCCAACTTGAGTCCTGTACAAGAGCCATCAGCACCCTGCCCCCAATGTTGATCTTCTGGCTGTTTCCTTTTTTGTTTGTTGTTTTGTTTTCAAGACAGGGCTTCTTTGTGTAGCCTTGGCTGTCCTAGACTCACTTTGTAGACCAGGCTCGCCTTGAACTCACAGAGCTCATCTCTGTCTCTCCAGTGCTGGGATTATAGGTGTAGACCACCATGCTTGGCTCTGGCTGTTTCTTAAGCCTGCTAGGCCCACCCTAAGGCCTTTACACTTATGGAGTCCCCTATCTGGAAAGCCCTTGGCTGAGCACATTTTGCAATAGCTGGGTTCTTTTTGGACACGTTGAGCAGGTCTTTCCTGAGCCCACCCCACTCCACTGCCCTGTGGCCCTTTGCCTCCATAGTAGTAGTTATGCTTTCTATCTGTGTGCTTATTTATTGCCAGCTCCAAGAGGGAGTTGGGTTTATTCTTCGGTATGTACTAGTGGTTGGCTTAGTGTCAGGTGTATAATAAATGCCCAGTAAGTATTATCAGAGCCCTATGTGTGAATCCAGGGAGCCCTTCTGAGCTCCCTGGAGGTGACAGACACAAAGCACATGCCAAGACCGCAGAGCAAATGAGAGCCCATACTTTGTGCCCATAGCCATGGCAGCATTTTTAAGACGTGTTCATTGGATGATACATGAACGCATGAACTCTGTCTGCTTCTGTGAACACAGTATTGCTGGGTCACGAAGTGACCCAAGAAACTGGACTGACAGAGAAATCTCAGACCATAAGAAGCCCTTGCTGGAGCCCTTGATAGCTCTTGAGTGATGCAGTCAGCTCTGGCTGCCATCTTGTGTGTGTGTCTGTCATAGGGAATGTGGGCATATGAGGCCTCTGGAGTTCCATCTCCTTTCCTTACCTACCCTTACTCTGCCTCCCTCCTACCATCTTTTCGGAGCTGGCCATGTTGGTGACGGGCAGTATAGAGAATCAAGCTGGGGCCCAACCTCCTCCAGGAGCCTTTCACCCTAATGTATGTTCTAAAAGAAGGAAAGGGGCTGCTGAGTCCATTCTGGGGATCCAGGCTTCCCACAAGGGGGAGCAAGGCTCTGTTTGTGGGAAACAGGATGAGTGACAGTGTCATTATTTAGATGGAAAAAAAATGGGATCTTGATTGGGAATCAAACACAATGAGGAACAGAGTGGAGTTCCCCAGACCCAGATCAATTTTCAAGTCCTGAGCTCACCCCAGAGTTCCTGCGTTGCACCCCACCAGAGTTTTTCCCAGGCTTGGGGACACGCATCTTGAAGATCAGAAAGCCACAGACCCAGTTCAGAGCTTAGCTGTCCTCACAAAGCCCAGCACCTGCTATTGCTCCTGCCCAGGCAGAGCTGCCAGAGTCAGAGAGAGTCTGTGAGCCAGGCAGACAACACAGCATGTTCCGGGTGCACCCCACCTAGCCTCAGACCTCCCCAAAGACATGTAATGTCTTTGTCATCTTGGAGGAGTCCACAGGATTCCATCCAGACTAAAACATCCCACCATCAGAGCCTGTGGACAGTCTGCCATGCCCTGCCCTTGGCTCTGTTTAAGGCCAGGTGCTCAGCTCACAAAATCTAGGCAACAAAGGAGGTGCTCCACCCCTCTTTAACAGCTCCCCAAGAAACAAATGACTGCAGGGCCCTGGGGTGAGACCCTCCAAAGGGTTTGGGTGGGTCATCTTAGTCCTTGAGAATCTGTGGCTGGTGATCTGGGCCATGAGCCAGGTGCTGGCTTTTTGACCAGCTAGCTATGAGGTCCGGCAAAGGTGTAGTTCTCTGTTACCTCACTGGTTTGTTTTTTTGTTTTGTTTTGTTTGTTTTGTTTTGTTTTGTTTCGTGGTCTCCTCCTCCTCCTCCTCCTCCTCTTCCTCCTCCTTCTTTTGTGAGATAGGGTTTCTCTGTGTAGCCTTGGCCGTCCTGGACTTGCTTTATATACCAGGCGGGCCTCCAACTCACAGTAATCCACCTGACTCTGCCTCCCCAAGTGCCAAGATTACAGGCATGTGCCACCGTGCCCAGCAACCTCACTGTTTTTATCTGAGAAATGGGTTCTTATCTCTTCCCTACATGTCTCCATAGGTTGGAGATGTCAAGTAGGTGAATGGCTAAGAAGATTTTTGAAGGGAGGGACAACTGAGGGGGCTTGTGAGAACAGGGTTTTATTTACCTGGCTTTTAGCCAGGCTCAAGGCAGATCATGTCCCGGGCAGAGCTCCCCTCATCCTTCCATCTACCCTCTGACTCAGCCACCCTCACAATCCCTTTCCCTGGGACTTCAGAGGTCATGGGATTTCCGGGCTGTCCACACCCCCTCAGTCACACAGCTGCGAAGTATAAGAGATCTGCTCTGTCCAGGGCTTGAAGAAATTGTGTGTCCGCCCTTGACCTGCTCTCCTGCCTCAGAGCCTGCTCAGGACAAGCCGCTGGAGAGACAGATGTCCTTCAAGGGGGCCTGGCATCACCTTCTCCTGTGCTGGCAGCTAGTCTGATCCCTAGAGACAGGGAAAGAAGTCACAGCAGAGCTTCAGGGTCAGCAGGAGCAGCCCCACCTTCTGCCCAAAGCTGGGCAAAAGAGCTCAGCTGTGCTCACCTAGCCAAGGACCTCTTTCCCATAGGGCAGCATCCCAGCAGCTCACTAGAGGCCTGGGTCCTGCAGGAGCTCACTAGAGACCTGGGTCCTGCAGGACAGGACTCTGAGGCTCTGCTTAATCTCCACATTTAACCCCTCTAAGGCATCGACAGTGTGCCTTCTCACTCTGTAGAGACTCTCCAACTGCATGGTCTATCCCTACTGTCACTCGAGTGCTCTGTGGCAGGTCCCATTTGCTCCAAAGCTTTTTTCTGAACCTCTGGCAATGTGGATGCATTCCACGGCTCCCACAGCCAAATGCTGTCTCTATCAAATGCCTCAATGTTCTGTGCTCTGAAGGTCTTTGCTCATTGGCCAGACCCTTTTATTCCATTCTCCCACAGGGGCAGGGGCCAGGACTGGCCTCTGAAGTTCGATGGCCTTCAACCTGGGGCACGGGACAAGACTTGTCACCAGTACTCACTGGATGACTGACAACCTCAGTGGCCCAACATCCATTCTTCAGTCTGGGGCAGGAGGGAGTCCCGTTGCTGGCCCAGGCCATGCAGGGTCCTGGGTAAAGGCTAGGGACAACAGACAGAGTCACGGAAGGTTCTCAGGGAGCTGTTGAAAACATGGGCTAGCCAGGCATGGCGGCATACGCCTTTGATCCAGCCCTCAGGGAGGCAGAGGCAGGCGGATCGCTGTGAGATGGAGGCCAGCTTAGTTTACAAAGTGAGTCCAGGACAGCCAAGGCTACACAGAGAAACCCTGTCTCGAAAAAACAAAACCAAAAACCACAAATAAGCAAAAGAACAACAGAAACAACATGGGTCTTGGGCTGGCAAGATGGCTCAGTGGGTAAAGACACTTTCTGCCAAGCCGGATGACCTGAATTCAACCCCAGTAACCCACATGGTGGGGAGAGAGAACTGACTCCCCTGGATGGTCTTCTGATCCCCACATGCATGCTATGACAGGCACCCACACACACATACACAAAAATAAATAAACAAAATACTGAAAGCACAGGCTTTGTGCTTTGGTGTAGAAGAGGCAGGAGCTCAACATCCAGAAAGCTCAAGAATGGCACAAAGTCTTAGCATAGCAAAGGTGTGGGGGTCTCGAAACCAGGCAGAGCAGCCTTGCTTCTCTGATGGGACAGAGAACAGTCATCTAGTCAGTGGAGAAAAGCTCTCTGATTTGTGAGAGAGACATCGTCATCTAGTTAGAGCACTTAGGAATGTATGCATCAACGCACACATTAGTTCATTCGCTCCTTTACCCCTTTAGCTGATAGGCCTAGGGTATCCATTATCTAGCGAGCGTATTTGTTCATCCATGCATGCGTTCATTCATTTATTCATCCCTTCACCCGATAGCCCCATGGTGCCTTTTACCCAGTAAATTTATCTCTCATGCATGTGTGCATTCATTCAGTCATTCATTCATTCAGCCAGCCAGTCAGTCAGTCAGTCAGTTAAGTATCCAGCTGATAGGCAAAGAGTATCCCTTATGTGGTTAATTCCTTCATTCATTCATACAATTGATAGATCCAGAACCTTGTATAATTAGTGCATTTAACTCGTATATGTATATGCCCATTCATTGATGCGTTCATTCATTACTTCACCCATCCAGCTGATAGGTCGAGGATGCCCATTGTGTAGCTATTCTTTCATTCACGCATTTAGCCATTGGTTTGTTCATTCAGCTGATAGGCACAGGCACCTGTGTAAGTACAGGTAAGTACAACAATTCACTCATGTGCACACCCATCCGATCATTTCTTCACTCATTCGGCCAACAGACCCATGGAGCCCCTTATCCAGTCAGTGAATTTACTCATGCATTTATTCAGCAGAAAGCAGAGGGTAGCCCCTCAAACGAAGGGACAGAGAAGCGACAAAGGGCCTGTCCTGTTCCTGGAGCTCTGCCAGGGAACAGCCCCCTGGGCTCACACCTGAGTCTGGGCCCATTTCCTGCAAAAGGCTGTGACACTGCTGAGGTCTACCCCGGGCCTGCAGGCCCAGGCCCCGAGAGCTGGTGCTGCCCTGGGGTCCAGCCTCCGGCACTGCCCGTCTCTCCCGCAGGTGATGAGCATTCTCAGCAACCCGAGCGCCGTGCCTCCACAGCCGCAGGCCGACTTCTCCATCTCCCCGCTGCATGGCGGCCTGGACTCCGCCTCCTCCATCTCAGCCAGCTGCAGCCAGCGGGCCGACTCCATCAAGCCCGGAGATAGCCTGCCCACCTCCCAGTCTTACTGCCCACCCACCTACAGCACCACCGGCTACAGTGTGGACCCTGTGGCCGGCTACCAGTACAGCCAGTACGGCCAAAGTGAGTGTTCCCCTCACTGCCCAGCTCCAAGGGGCAAGGTGGCGGCCAGGGGGGGGAGGGGGTCTCCCTTTAAAGTGTTTTAGAAGTCATTTTCTGATTTTACATGTGTTGATGTTTCGCCTGCCTGTGTGTCTGTGCACCTGCAGTGTCTGCAGGCACCAGGAGAGGGCGTCAGATCCCCTGGAGTTGGAGTTACAGATGGTCGTGAGCCATCCTATGGGTGCTGAGAACTGAGCCCAGGGCCTCAGAAAGATCTGCCAGTGCTCTTAACTGCTGAGCCATCTCTCCAGTCCTCTTCAAAGATTCAAAAGTGTGTGTGTGTGTGCGTGTGTGTGTGTGTGCGTGTGTGTGTGTGTGTGTGTGTGTGTGTGTGTGTGTGTGTGTGTGTGACATGTGAGTGGGAGCATGGATGCACACATGAGTGGAGCTCAGAGGACAACTTCTAGGAACGTTTTCTCTCCATCGTTAAATGGGTTCTGGGAATCAAACTCAGGCTTATGTTTTTACCCTTTGGGCCATCGCATAGGCCCTTTCACAGGTGGTGAAACAGAGGTCCATAAAGGAAGCAGAGGTGACCTAAGATGTTCTGAGCTGCTCATCAGACGCAGTTGGCTCACCTCTCAGCCAGGGAGCCCCCTCTTCCCCCACCTCACACACATACACACACACACACACACACACACACACCCTCCCCAGTTCCAGCCCAGGAGCCACATGTGCCCCTATATTTTCTAAAGGCCACACTTTAAAGTCGAAGGAGAAAGGGTCAGGATTATTTTTATTAATGTATTCTATTTAACCCAATACACCCAGATCCCTGCTTCATACAATCCACACGTGACTACCCAGAAAGTCGTTTGTCTTCTGTTCAGACTCTGTCTTTAAAATCCAGTGGCTTTTGCTGCTGTCCTGTGGTGGTGCTGGGGATCAAACCTAGAACCTCACCTAAGCTAGGGAAGAGCGCTGAGCTACATCCACAGCCCCCTTTTTATTTCCAGACAAGTACACTAAGATGCCCACACTGGCCTGAACTCACTCGGTAGCCCCGATGGGACTTGAATTTTCTCTCCTTCATCAGCACTTAAAGTTCATGAAGGTGCCGTTGGGGACACCCAAATCTTTCTATATAGACTCTGAAGTTTTTCAATGTGAAACAACTAAAGATCAGTTTTTACATTTAAATTAAATAAAACTGAGTAACTATCCGAGAGTCGCTCAGCGTTGCACTGCAGCTAGTGGCATGAATGGGGGGCAGTTCAGTGAGGGTTTTGCTCCCCTTTCCCCCCAGGCATGGGAATACAGGTGGAAGGCTCTGTGTAGCGTTCTGTCACTCCTCCAAGTCTCCAGTGGGTCCCACAGACCCACTCCAGCCATTGTCCTCTTGGTGTCTTGCCTTGATATAGGGACAGCAAAGCCTCAGACCAATAGCTGGGCAAGACAGGCTCGGCCACAACCTCTAGCCGCCATGGCCACCTGAGGGGGCGAGCAGCAGGGCAGGCCCAGACAGGATGGGGGAGCCAAAGGTCACGAGGCTGCCCTCCTGTCACCTCTCAGTAAAGGCCTCACCTGCTGGTGTCAAACTAATCAGGAGGGCGTGTGGAAAGAGTGAGGCCCCCAGCCTGAGGGCACCCTCTCCTCCAGCTGCCGCCTGCCCACCAACTGGCCGCACTGACCTCTGCTTCCTGGGGCCCCCCAGCCATCTCCACCGGCATGGCCTTGGCCTCCACGGTTAAATGAGGGCCAGCTGTGTGGGCCTCTACCTCCCATGTGCACGTGTGTCCTGCTTGCATGTGTGTGTGCATCAAGGTTACGTCACAGTCCAAGTGTCTGTGCGCACATATAACTATACACATGTACATACAAATGGCTATTCTGTGTACACACTGGTATGTGTATATGGCTTTACACGTATGAGCATACCTGGACGCACATACATGTGACAGTATGTGATGGCAATGTGCACGCATGTTTGAATTTTCATAGGTGGGTTCTTAGGGGCTGGTGTGTCTCTGTGTGTGTGTGTCTGTGCGTTAGCATGTGAGTCTGCCTTTTGAATGTGTACAGTGTGTATGCAGATTAAGTGTGGCTGTGTGCACATGTACATTTTGGTGTGGATATGTGCTTAAAGGTATCTATGGTGAGGCACACGTGGGGGGCTTGCATGGGTGTGATGTGAGTAGCTGGGTGTGTTCAGATGTTGTGCTGGGGGTGTGATTCTGTATACAGTTGTGGGTGTGAGCGTGGGCGTGCACGCATGGAGTGCATGCACAGGGAACACAGCTCCACACAGCACCCGTGAGGGCGATGCGTGCCTCCCCGTGCACAGGAGCCTTTCCCGTGGGTCCCTGGCTGACCCTCTGACCTAATGCATGTTCCCAACCCAACACAGGACACACGTGCTCTTGATAAAACAGTTGAGAGCAGCAGCCCGGCCCCAGGCAGGCGTTAGTCACACCCGGAGCCTGGAGCCCCTGCCCTGCTCCAGGGCGCCTGCCCAATTCGGAAATAAAATTAACCCCAAAGTCAGCATGGGGGTGGTGGGGGAGGGGGATCAAAAGAGAAAGGGCCCAGGAGGCCAGAAAGGAAAAGCGCTTGCCCTCCTCTCCTTCCTCGCCCCTCCCTTCCTTTCCCTGCTCCTCTGTTACTGGGAGGATGAAGGGCTCCTCTCATGCCCTACCCAGACTCCACTCACTGAGGTACCTCTTCACCGCACATCCCAGCACACGACACACACCCGACCTCAGCGTTCCCACCCGCAGGATGGGGCTGGGGACGAGACGAATCATTTCAGAGGCACTGTCACGCTGTCCTCTAGTGTGTTGATATTCTGGGGTAGCCCAGGGACAGGCCATGCTCCCATTAACCACCTCTCAACATCCCTGAGCACACGTGAGGCCAGGTTCCCTAATCAGCTTGGAAAGTCACACATCCTGATCTACCTGTCCCCCCGCCGCCTCCTGTCCCCCGGTGCTTGAGTTCAGCCCCACAACGCTGTGTCAAATGTGGGCTCCTCATCGCAGACCTTTCACAGTTCCTGCTCCTCAGCTTGTTAGGCTCAGAGAGACAAAGCAGTGTTCCCAGGGTCCCACAGCAGAGGGATCGCTACTCAGCCCCCTGACCTCAAACCACAGGTGAACCGGCCTGGTATGAGACGCTCGGTTGACTGGTGCACGTTCTCCTGCGAACAGACCCCTGTGTGTGAGTGCTGCTGACCATATGCCTGGAGTCGAGGCGTGACTGTGCCAAGTGCACGTGCAGGAGAGGGGGGGAATAATTGTTAGTTGAGCATCTACTATGAAGTTGACCTTTCATCTGCAACAGCGTGCGCACACAGTTGTTCCCACTGCACTCGACAGAAATGGCATCTGGGGAAGTTACTAGAGAGGTATCGATGGGCATCCTGACACCTGCATCCTGACCCTCAAGTGCCACTTTCAGGTGTGCTTGGAGCATGCACAAGACCCAACTCCTATGCCGCAGAACCCTCCCCCATCGCCAAGGCCACTCACCTTCCCAGGGACACCTTCACACCTTCTTTTCTGGCTCCGGCCATGTCCATCCATCTGCCCATCTCTCGCTGTCCCTGGAGTGGGTGGGGGCAGGGGGCCAGGGATGGGGCACATGGTAGATTAATATGGCCCCGGTGTTCCCAGAGGCCAGGGCCATACTAATGATGGGGCTGATAGAACGCAGGAGTGTGAAAAGAATTTTAATAGATCTGACAACTCTAATAAGAATTTGTGTCTAGAAGGGTCCTCCTCTGGGGCCTCGGGCTGACGAGGCACTGATGGCTGAGATCTGTTTACTGGTTGGCATTGCTGGCCCATCTCCTGCCAACTCTTGATTAGTGTAATTGGAGTCGTTCAGAGCCCAGGCGGTGTGTGAGGCAGGAGAAGGGAGACAGGAGGGACAGAGGGACAGCGAGGGCTTTTGACAGAGTCCCTAATGAGGAATGTCACCTCCCTGCCTTCTCGCCAAGCCCTTGGCTCTACCCTAGGACGAGGCAAGCAAGCCCTACAGTTGGCCCCTTGGATGCTCTGGAAGTTGCTGGGGTCAGCAGGAAAGTTTGGCTTCTGGGTGCTTCCTTGCCTCCCTCAAGGAGGGGCTGAGAAAGCTCCTACTGTGTGCTGGGGACGGGTAAATGGGGAAGAAGCACGGAGTGGGTAGAGGTGCCAAAGAGACAATTCTTTATTTTACTCTGTGAGTATGCAGTTGTGCATGGGGAGGTCAGAGGTCAGAGGTGAGGCTCAGGTATCCTCTTCAGATACTATCCACAGCATCTCTCACTGGCCTGGGACTGAAAAAGCAGGCCACCAGGCAGGCTGTCCATGGAACCCCAGGGATCCAGCTGCTTCTGTCTCTTTGGTGCAGTCTCCTGTGACAAAGGAAAGGTCACCCGAGGTGATGTGTGCACTTTAAAAATCCATGACATTGCCTGAAGCAGAAATGGAACAATGTGGGCCTAGGGATAAAGTGTCTCAGTCTTGAAGGCTGTATGCACACCAGAGGCCATTGCCAGGGAGGCTCAGATCTCAGGGTCATTCCCAGGGGCTGCTGGTGAGGCCCAAGGCTAAGGAGCTATCACCAGGATGCCTGGGTTTGAAAGCACAGGAGGAACCAGCCGATTCTAGTTACGGCCTTTAAAGACCTTGGCTCTACCTTCTGTCAAACAAGGACAAGGGACAGTCATGCCATCTGGCTTGCAGAGCTGGAATGTTACCTAAAAGTACAGGGCTGGGAGCAGGACAGCCCAGGGCTAGCTCTCTGTGGCTTCTGCTTCTCTTCCTTCTGTGCCTAAGGAAGACAGTCTAAGACAGTGGCTTACTGGTCCATGCGCCCTGGCATCCAAGGAGAAATGACAGTGTGGCCAGGGCTTCAGGATCTCCCCAAAGCTCGAGCTGGGAGTCCCTCGCTCCCCACTCCCTGCCAGGCAAGGCTGGCCACAGCTGCTTCTGCTCTACCAGCTGGGAGCCTGAGATTGAGCAAGAGACATCACAGACTCTCAAGCCCAGGAACTCAGTGTAGGGCTTTTTTCCACACACCCACCTTGAGCCAGGGTAGCTGAGGCACACATGAGATTCAAAGACACCCCAGGACATTTGCACATTCTTTAGGAATCTGGACAGGGGGCTTGTCCTTACCCCTCTATGTGACAGCAAGTTTTAAAACGTCCCCAACCGCATTTTGCAGATGGATAAACAGACCTGAAAGGGAGTTTCAGTTTGCTCAAACCCACGTGACTCCTGGCCACCCTTTCATCCACACCATCATTAAAGGTCACATTTATCCTGGGCCTGAGTTCACGAGTGTCACACGCTACCCTGTGACTGTGTGTGTGGATGCTGTTAACTGTCCCTGCGGTTCTTTGGTCCAGGTGTTTTATATTCCTTGATACAAACAAAGAAACTGAGGCTGAGGTGGTGTGCCCCAGATCCCAGTCAAGATTGTTCAGGAGTGGAATTTAAATCCAGGCCATAGCTCAGCTACTGGAATTGGCCCTCTGGCCTCCCTGGCCTAGGCTTCAGGCTCCATCTCCCCCACATATACACACTGCTTTAAACAGAAGGTGCCAAGCTTGGAGAAGCACAGAGACTGTCTACAGGAAGCCTCGGAAAGCAGGTGAAAAAGGAGCCTTGTGACTCTTTGTGCATAGCTTTCCAGCTTCCCCCAAGCCCTCTGCATCACGGGAGTCCTGTAGGGTACGCTGGCTACAGTCACGAGGCCCCGCCTATAAGGTAGCATCTTGCATCCCGAGAAGCCTTGGCCACATGCCTGTCCAGTGCCTCAGTCAGGGCAGATTTCGGCTAGAGCTTCAGGCAGGACAGAGCCACATGTTGGCAGGCCAGCCAGCAGCTGTAGCTAGCTGCACGTGACAGACACCTATGTCTCCCTCAGGTGAGCCCTTAACATTCACAAAATCTGAGCATGCATGGATGTTCGCCCTGATGCATCTGCTCACGTGTGTCTCACACACGTGTGTGCTGGCGTGCGTGCGTGAGTGTGTGCGTGACAAATGGCATGGGTAGGTGTTGTTCTGTACGAACATTCATGCTTTGTTCAGCATTGCCATGTGAAGATACTCATTTCCACAAGTCTCAGAGCACTCCCCCCACCACACACGTACATACATACATACATACACACACACACACACCTCACTCACATTCACACCCATCCCCACCAGTACTAACCTGTTTTCTTTGGGTCTGACAGGCTATGAGTCTGTGCTCTCACTCTTCCTCTTGATACCCTCTTGGCTTACTTGCAAAAGCCACTTTGGCTCTTGAGCAGGGCCCTTGCTCTGCCTCAGACAGCTCTGCACTTAGGGTCTAGCTTAAAACAGAGAACCTTCATCCTCAGTGGCACCTGGACTCACACAGCAGGCTTCACTAGCCAGGATATGAAGAGGGCTTGAGGGAAGGGAGCTGAATTCTCCACTGAAAACTGAGATGTGTGTCTGTACTTGCTTGCAGAGCTAGCAAGACAGCTGGACAAATAATAATAATCAAATATTTGCTGTATGGCTGGAAAGGAGATTCATAAAGAGATAGATGAAGAAAAGAAGCATGGAGAAAGGATAGAGTGTATCTTAGTTTTATTTCTGTTGCTGGGACAAATACCCTGACCAAAAGCAATTTAGGTAAGGAAAGGGGTTCATTTTACTTACAACAGGTCATAGTTCCTGATAGCAGGGACCTCAAGGCAGTAACTTAAAGCAGGCCACAGTCAAGAGCAGAGAGAAACAAACATACACATGCCACCTACTTACTTGACTTTAGCTAGCTTCCTTTATTCTTAAACAGTGCTGGGTTTCCTGCCCGGGGAATGGTCTCATTCACAATGGGCTAGGTCGATTAATAATCAATTAGCAGCCAAGACAGCTCCCCACACATGTGCCCACAAGCCAATCTGATCCAGCCAATCCTTCAACTGCTGCTCACCTCTCAGGTAACTCTAGGCTGTATCGAGTTGGCAATAAAAACTAACCAGCAGGGCTGGAGAGAAGACTCGGTGGTTAACAGTACTATCTGCTCTTCCAGAGGTCCTGGGTTCAATTCCCAGCAACCACATGGTGGCTCACAACCATCTATACTGGGATCTGATGCCCTCTTCTGCCATTAAGGCATACATAAAATAAATAAATAATGCTTTACAAAAACAACTTACCAACAGAGGAAAGAGGGCAAGATGGCTAGCTGGTCAAAAAGATGAATGAATAGACAGACAGTCAGGATGAATAATGAGAAGAGTGGATAGATTAATAGGAATGGGTGGAGGAACAGATGAACAGATTAGCAGATGAATGAGTGGAAAAATGTGTGTATGGATGGATAGAAAGAACTGGTGAATGGGAAGCGGATGACTAGATCATGAAGTTTGATGGGTATTCAGACAGAAAATGGATGATGGGAGGACAGGAGGGTAGATGGTTAGAAAAGGGATGGAATAGCAGATGGGCAGAAGAATGCGTGACTAGAAGAATGAATGGATAGATTGGCAAGATGGATGGGTAAAGAGATGAATGGATGGACAGAAGATGGATGAATGGAAGAATGGATGGAATGCTGTTAGATGGACAGATGGATAAAAGGATGAAGGTTAAATGAGAAAACACATGTAAAGAACCTGTTTCTAGAAGCTTCTCTCTCTTTCCAGCTGCTGTTGATTACCTGGCCAAAAACGTGAGCCTGTCCACACAGCGCCGCATGAAGCTAGGGGAACACTCTGCCGTGCTGGGACTTCTCCCTGTGGAAACGGGCCAGGCCTACTAGGGCCCCTGGGGAGACTTTCCCCAGCCAGTGGCCCATCCTATCCCTTCCCAACTCCTGAGCCTCCTCACCTCAGTCCCCTCATCCCCCTGGGGTCTTGGGAGGTCAGGAAAAGAACCCTTTCCCTTCCTACAGCAGCCCTCGGGAGACTGACAGCCAATGTGTTATTTACTCATGGTTAATGACCCACCGTAGCCCCTTGGGTCTGCCTCTCCGTCTATCTCCAGAGAGGTTTGTAGCCATCTTGCAATGATCTCCAGCTCACATCCATCTTCCAGTGTCATGGCCTTGGTCCTGTCTCAGCACAGAGGTTGAGGCTCAACCTGAACCGAGCACCTAGTCATCAGAGGAAAATGGTGCCAAAGAAAAGGCCCTGGAGTCCTTGACCTCTGAGTCCTGGGGCCCTGGCAGCAGGTACAGGTGGAGCTCATGGGTATCTTCAGCCACAGAGCTGGGAGATGTCTCTTGCTTAGCATCAGAACTGCAGCCTCTTTTACTAGACACTGAGATGAACCCCCGGATATCCCCAGGGGAGAAAACAGGTACCATCTCAGCTTTGCCTAGGAATCCAGAGGACTTCGGGACTGTCCTCACACACCCTGCTGAGCGTCAGGAGACCAGGAAGAGATTCTAGCGGGGGGCAGGGCACATGGAAGCAAAGTGTGTCAGCCATGGGCTATCCCAGAATGCCAGGCCCAGGTCCAGCATCAGGGGCTGCAGAACTCCTAGGCTGCAGTCTGATAGAGGTTTATGCACTGCATCAGGGCCTGGGGAACCCACAGCACCTGTCAGTCTCCTCAGCTGGTAGGAGAAGAGAAGGTCTTGAGGTGACAGGAAGCACAAGATAGGCTCAGAGGGTCTGAGGGCGCTCAGCCTTCAAGCATGCACCCCTGGAGTTCTGCACACCGTTTTGCTCGCAGCTGGAACCCAGTGTCATCCATGCTGTCCCTCTGAAAGCAAGACTCCACCTTTCAGCATACAATGCTCTTGATGGCACTGGATGCAGAAAGTCTTCTCAGACTAGGCAGAATTCCTGGTCTACCCCAGAGAAGATGCTCCAGTCTCCTTGGCATCTCAGTGGAAGGCCATGTCCCTGTTCTTTTTTGAGTGGCATTTTTCAGTGCTGCCTGCTCTCAGTTGAAAGGCTTTTGTCATCTCACCAGGCACGGTGCATCTGGGGCACTGTTTTTAAGCCACCATCCCTGGGCAGAGGAAGTTGCCAAAAGTTCCAGCAAAGAGGACAAGGCGCCTTCCTTAAGCATTCTGGGGGCTTTCTTTTTAGAGTTGAGTCTTTGGGGAAATGGATTGCTCAAGTCCTCCAGTTCTCTCCTTCCTGAAGTTCTTCATCACCCTCTATTTATCAAAACTGCATCCATCTTTATCCTCTCCCTCACTATAATCTACACTCGGACCACCTTCATCCAGTGCTGGGATGCCATAGCACCAAATCCAGGAAAACTGGGCCTGCTTGCTTGTCCCCACCTGTACACACGAGGCCACCTGCTGGCCCAATCCATGCCTCTTGCCCTCAGCCAGCAAGACATTCCTAGAGAGGGGGCTGCCACTGAAAAGCCCTCACTGACTTCCTTCTGCCTGGGGAACTGGACTGGCAAGATACTGGGAGACTTGTCTACATGAACATGTGACTGATGATCACCTATTTCTCATCTTTAGACCCATCATCTGAAGCCTGTCCTGGGCCATGACTAGGATGGCTCGTATCGGAGAAGCCTACTCATAACCAGGGACAAAATGACTCTCTGGTAGCATTGGGCATCAGACAGATGGGGCTCATCAGCCCGGTCCAGGTTTCAAGAGAGGAGAGTTGTGGGCTCTTCAAGGTCTAGGAAACCACACTGCCCCTTGGAATCCCAGTTTCCCCCTCGGTAGTTGTCACAGCTGCAAGCACCCCTTTCAGAAGACCAAACGCATCTTCCTCCACATTCCTCGCCCCCTGGACACCTGGCTCTGGGTGCACCTGAGTCTCCTCTCACCCAGTATGATTCAGGAGCAGGGACCTCATGCAGGGGACATCCAAAGGGCCTAGCCCCCACCCAGGGAGCAACATTCCAGTGCTTGGACCAAGCACAGTGATCTTCCCACTGGGGTAAATGCCGCCGAGGCCTGCTTGGAAGAAGACAAAATGACTTTTCATTCCATGCAACACCTCTGAACATTCCCCAAGCCTCCATCTTGGTATAAAACGGGACATGTGTTCTGAGGGGCCCTTGACCCCCCACAGGCTTCCCCAGCCATCTCGTGTTTTTTTTTGTGTGTGTGAATCTGTCCATCTTGGTCTGTACAACTCAGCCTTGTTTGGGCAGCTTGCAACTTCACCAGAGAGGTGATGTCAGTTAGCTGAGAGGCACCAGGCCTCCATCCCTGTGGGTTTGAGGACAGCCTAGAAGAAGGCCTGGCTCCCAGTGGCCAGGCTGGACCAGAAACACCCACCCCCATCACTGTAAATAGAGTCAATAGCAAGATAAGAGGGCATCCTCCACGTCACCTCAAGTAGCTACTGGTTCTTCTGTGGAGGTCCCTCTGAACTCATTGTATGTTAGTTGAATTGTATGGTGTTGTGATGTATGTTTATAGAACATTGGCTTTTTATATATAAATCTATATACTTAAAAAAAAGGAAAGGAAAAGAAAGAGGCCCCACAGTGTGTGTCGTGCTAGTGCCCAGACCATCTGTAGGGATTTGTCTACTGTGTGTTCAGATTATGTATTCCAGCCTTCCTTGGATTCCTCCATATTTTTTTGTCATCTCCTCCACCCCCAATTAGGTAATTCTCTCTTGCTATGAAAATGAAAGTACTGATGGTAAGAGCTAAGCTTCTATTCTCTTATTTTGTACTCAGTTTACCTTTGCCCTTTTAGGGGACCAGAAAAAAAAAGTGAAGGAGACAGAAACTGGAAAACCAGAGGGTAGGAAAGAAGAATGAGGGGAGGGCAGGAGGGAAGGTCAGTTTTGCAGCCGGATGATGGGTGTGGTCCAGGATAGAGCCCAGACTGGCACACTCCACCGAGGTCTGGTATTGTTTCGCATGGGACTGGTAGAGTGTGCTAAGAGTGGAGCTGGGCCTTGCTGAGGGACTCCACAGTTGCCAACCAAGAAGACTTTGTGTAGCTCCTCTGGGGGGGCTGGCATTCTTCGCAGGCCCCTGGACATGTCCCTCCCTATCGGATGCATTGTAGGGTGCACGAGCATCCTACCTTCCGCAGAAGCACCCAGGCAAGACCAAATGGGGGTACTCAGGCTGCCATGTTGGAAATGCTTGAAGACGCCTGCACATTTGATGTTCCACACAGACATGGCAGCCCCCTCCTGGGAAAATACCCTCACAGTGCTGGAGAACATTCCTTTTTCCCTGGTAACTGAAACGTGGTTGCTTCAGCATTTGACTCGCCATTTTTCCTCCACTCGAAGTGAGTGCGTGTGCATGAGGGGTGTGAGTGGGGTGTGCGCGTGTGGGCGGGTGTCTAAATATAATCGCACCATAATTTATTCAGCTATATGGAGTAGTAGACTAGAAAGACAAACTGGTATTTGCTTTAACTACCTGCTGCTTGTAAGCGCTGCCTCTGTAACTCAGGCGTAACTGTCATACATTAAAAGAAATTAAAAAACATCGTGAAGGTTCCGTGTCCTCAGTTGACTGCCATCCCGTGGTTGGGACCAGGATGTCTGGGAGCCGCACAATGGGTTGGCATGGGAATGATTCTCTTGCACCCTGTGTTGGTCAGGGCAACAGAACTGATAAACTGAATATATGAATACACATATGTATACACACACAGAGAAAGAAAGATTCCCTCAGAGCTGTACCTAGCCACTTGGGTTTTAGCCAATTCCAGACACAGGCAAGTTGGCCACCACAAGTCTAGCTGTTGTCAACTTGACACACAAGCATATCTCCTTTGCTATCAGGAGTACGGTGCATACCCACCCCTCCCCCACTGCACATGACCACCCAGTAACAAGAAGTCATTGGCATGCTGTTTGAGCCTCTTTGGTATTAATAAGTACCAATGCAGATCAACAAAGCTCCACAAAGGTAGCTACTGAGCATTTCTGTGGGCTCAGGGGAGCAGCCAGAGGCCGAGAATGGGGGAACCTCTGAGCAAACGCTGAGCTGAGTGAGAACCTTCGGTGGCTCTCAATCTGCCTAGGCCAGAATTCAGAAGCATCTGCTTCCCTAAGAGCAGCACCATATGTAGCCGGTGATTTAAGGGCCCTTAGAGATGGCAACAGAGCCCAGGAGAGGGTCCCAGAGGGGAGGAGTAGCAGGGTCTAGCTTAAAACAGTTTTGACCAAGAGCGCTGAGTGTGCAGGCTGGCTTTCTGTCCCATGTCAGTCATTGACCGAGAGAGGAGGGATAGGGGACTTCCCTGCACAGCATCTCCAACTGAAATGACCCTTGCGTGCTACAGACAGGGCGCTATGGGGCCTGTCTTAGGGTTCCTATTGCTATGAACAGACACTACGACCACGACAACTCTTACAAAGGAAAGCACTTAATTTGTGCTGGCTTACACTTTCAGAGGTTTAGGCCTGTCATCATGGCGGGAAGCATAGCGGCATGCAGGCAGACATGGTGCTGGAGAGGGAACTGAGAGTTCTACATCTGGATCTGCAGCAGGAAGGGAACTGGCTTGAGCTTCAAAGACCTCAAAGCCCACCCCCTAGGGACACACCTGGTCCAAGAACACTGCACCTACCCAGCAAAGTCATCCCCACTAAAAGCCTTACTCCCTATGAGCCTACGGTGGCCTTTTTTTTTTTTCAAACCACCACAAGCCCTTAGCAGCAACCTGCACTTTGGTTTGGGGACAGATGCACTGGTTTGTTTTAGGGGACCTGGGCAGAAAGGAACAGGCAGCAATCTGTTCCATGAGTGTGTGGTGGCCTAATGGCTGGGAAGCCCAAGCCACCCCAAGGTGCTGGTTTCCTTACATGAAGTTCTGAATAGGAAGGAATTGGTATAGAATGGTATTGGGGGAGGGCAGCATTGGTCAGCCATTCCTGATGACCTGAACCCATCTAGCCAAGGCCAAGCAGAACCGGGAAGAAGGCTGAGAGTGCCCTGAGCCTGAGACCAGTTGGAAGCTACTCTCATTGTACCTTCTCCACAGAGTCCTTGTGTGTACCGAGCCTCATACACGCTCTTGATGTTATAACTGGTGATCTCAACCACAGCCAATCAGTATCCTTAACCCTCAGTTAAGATTTGGGGACAGTCAAGGACTCCCCAGGTTCTAGCCTCAGCTCTGCATGAGACTGGCTGTGGGGCCTGAGGCTGTTTTCTTTCCCCACTTGGACTGGATCTCCCGTGTTTTAGAAAGCAGGCTAGATAGCGTCTAAGGGCCTTCCAGGTTCCCATGGAGATCCTCTGAACTGAAGATTGGACCCAAAGGCAACCCACAGCAACCCACAGAATAAGATCCCAAGATACAGACTTTGCCCTCAGGGACCCAGAGAGTTTCCTGACCCGCTCCTAGGAAGTGTTCTTAATAATTATTTTTTTTCTGACAACCTTTGACTATGTCCGAGGGAAAACTGAATGGCCTTTAAGAGGACACACTAGTGCCTGGTGTAAAGTCAGATTTCTGTGTACGAAGACAAAGAACGGGTTTACCTTAGACAGACACTTGTATGTGTCAGCCATTTCTGTGATATGCTGCATAACACTGCAGCCTAGGTGGTTTCACGGCACAGTCACCTTATGGTGGGTCCATTTTCAAGCCTTCCTGTGGATGAAATTGAGCAGCAAGAGGCTAGAGGCTGCTCAGACACCAGACACATGGAGCCTCTGAGGTGGGAGAGGTAGCCAAACAGGCTAGCCCGATCTCAACTGTTGTATAATCTGATCTTCCTACAAGCTTCGGGCACTCTGTCCTCACCCTTCCTCAGGCTGCATGATCTATTCTGAGCAGAGCAGAGGTTTACTTTCATAATCCCGGCCATGTGAGCAGCTGCTGGGAGGAGTGGGGCTAATTTCTCGGAGGCTTAGGGGAATGGGCTCAAATCTCCAGCCACCTCTACTGCCTCCCCTCAAAGAACTTAAACATGGTCCCTCTGATCAGGCCTCACCTTTGGGCCCAGGTCCCTTCTGTGAGACCATAGGCAAGTCACTTCTCCCTCAGTGGTCCCACCCTTCAAACAGAAATAAAGTCTGTCCCTCTGTGTCTGAAAGACAGGCAACAACCCCTCGGTTTGTTGGTTCAAACACCAACAGCTTGAGGGGTGGGGGATGTCCCTCATCACCGTTTATTAGAATCTTAGTCCTATTTCTGTTGCTATAACAAAATACTCAAGATGGGGAATTCATAGAGTGGGCATGGCTAATGTGATGGCTTAGCAAGTAAAAACGATTGCTGGTCACACCTGGAGACCTGAGTCCAATCCCAGAGTCCAAGAAGGCATGGACTGGCTCCACAAAGGTGCCCTCTGACCTCCACACTCATGCTGTGGCATGCACACCCACACATACATTGAGTACATACATGCAGTGATAATTTTACTTTAAATCTGGACATTGGTTTGGCTTATGGTTGTGGAGTCTGAAGAGTTCAAGGGTGCACCGTGTAGGGCTTCCTGCCACACAACAACATGATGAGATGGGCTATGTAGCAAGATGGGCATAAAAAGGTAAGGTGGGTTGAGCATAGCCAATGAGAGAGCGTTTGCCTAGCATGTGCAAGACCCCAGCCCCGCAAAGACAGATGTTCGTCTAGTTGCTTTTCTGATCACCGTGACACAATACCTAATAAAAAAGCAGCTTGAGGAGGGCTTGCTTTGGCTGATCGCAGTTCAGAGGGGAACTGGGACTGTCCTTCAGAACGACGTCATTCTTTCTTAACTTGCTTGTTTCTGGTTATCTTAGCACGGCAACAGAAAAGTCATCGACACGCATTTGGTGAGTCCGAGGTCCTAGAGTGAAGTGTCTCAAAAAGTGGTAGGTGGTGCCTGAAATATGACACCAAAGGGTGGTTCTCTTCCCTCCACATGCTTGCTCACCTGCCCATGTGTGTGCACTTGAGCATAAGAACACACACACACACACACACACACACACATGCACAATGAAAATCACTTTCAAGATCCCGGAAGTCTCCATCACAGTGGGCTAGAGAGGGTTCACTGCCAGCTACAAGAAATATTAGTGAGAGGTCACATGGACAGAAATGGCTATCTCTATAAACTGAGAGTCGCCGTGTGTGACAGTAAAGTGGGGCTTACCTCCTTTAGTGACAAGAACTGAACCCCACTGAACCCCAAGTGAGCTTGCAGAACTGGTTCCTCTTCATATGAGAGACCATTCCATACCCACAAGTGACCCGCACTGTCCAGATCTGTTCTGCTGGGCCCAGATCCTATGAGATGTTCAGTGAGTGTTGTCTGATTGCCTCACTTGTGTAACAGTGAAAACTCCCACAGAGGGACAGGCGACAGTCAGAACCTGCAGGTCTGACTGAATTTGTTCTTGGGCCTACAAAGAGGGCCTGTATCTTAGTTAGCATTTCTGAAACACCATGACCAGAAGCAACCTGGAGAGGAGAGGGTTTATTTCATCCTACAGCTTGTAGTTGGTCAACTAGAGAAGCCATAGCAAGAACGTGGAGGCAGGAACGTGGAGGCAGGAACGTGGAGGCAGGAACCTGGAGGCAGGAACCTGGAGACAGGAACCTGGAGGCAGGAGCCTGGAGGCAGGGACTGATACAGAGGCCACAAAGGAGTGCCGTTTACTGGCTTTCTCTGACTGCTTTCTTATACAACTCAAGACTGCCTGCCCAGGGGTAGGATAGGTCTTCCCACATCAATTATTAAGACAATACCTGTAGGCCAGCCTTATGGAGGCATTTTCTTAGCTGTGGTACCCTCTTCTCAGATAATGCTAGCTTGGGTCAAGTTGACATAAACTAGGCAGCATCACTTTAAAGTACCAAAGATCCAGTCTGGCTATGGGTACACTTACTTCCATTTATTTTTCCATGTCTCACTCCGAGTCCCCTGACATCTCATGACCAAGGCAAATGTCAAAGCCAACCTCAAAGACAAGGGGCAGAGAATGTACTTGCGACCTGTCTTGAGGTAGGATGGAGAAGGATGGAGTCCTGATTTTATCACTGAGGAGCAAAGAACTGATACATATTGTCCCTGTCTGCTCTGACCTCCTCTGCTCCTTTGAGCAGAGTTAATCAACAACAGTTACTTCCCAGAGGGCTGAAGCCCTTGGTGTCCCTTTTTCCTGTCAAACTGACTCAAAGCAGACATCTAGGCCTCCAAGAGAGGACATTGAAACCATGGAGGAGTGAGGACTAAAGGTCAGAGAATCTGAGTAAGGGTAAGTTATTGAGTCACCAGTAACTGTCCTTCAGAACAAAGCCATTCTTCCTTACCTTGCTTGTTTCTGCTTATTTTTAGCAAGGCAACAGAAAAGTCTCTAATACACATTTGGCGAGTCCCGGGATATGAGTGTGTCCCCAGGAATATCCCAGGTACAGGGTTCAGGTAAGGCTCAGGGTAGAGGAGAATGGCTTCCCTGAGATCTTGCAGTGGGCCACATCCTCCTTACCCTTTACTGAGGTCCCATGTTAGCTGCCTGTACCGTAAAGACCATTGTTTTTC